TCAGCAGGGGAGGATGTACCAAGAAGGGGATTTTTTCTAAGCTGTTGCTTAACTGATATTAGCATTTGAAGGCACATAAGGCATGACCTTTAATCCTGTGTGTCGACTAACTGATCTGCTTGCTTGAATGCCTCATTGTAATGAAGCAGAATCGAAAGGATTGCGTCAGACCACAGAAAGAAATCTTCTGTCACCAGAACTTGCATATTTAGGTGTGTGGCTCCATGAGCCCATCCCACATGTAACATCTGCAAACTCAGAGCTTTCAGATGCATCTCCCTGATCTCCAGCTCCTGTTCAAAATTGCGTTCTTCAGTGAGTTACCCTCCGAAGTACAAGCCTTCCTGTATAAGCTGACAGATAGTAGCCCCAAAGCAAGAAAGGACAGCCCTGACTTTTGGTCTTTTCCAAAAGTGTAAGTGGTCCTAGTTACACATGGACATTTTGCCATTCTCATCCGTAGCAATTCAAACAGTGGTGGTAAATTAGTTTTATGGGGCATTAGTGGAAGAGGTCGGTGAGTTTTATTACATTCACGTGAAAAGTTAGAGCCAAGAATGTAAAATGAAAACTGAAGATGAAGAGTATCGGAAAGCAGAACAGGGTTTGTGAAGTGACCAAGTGTATATGTGATACTGTGTAAAGTCCCAAAGAGTCTTCAGTCTAAGCTGGTAACATAGTTCAGAATGAGTTTTGAAGTTACAGCTGTTGTGAGAGGCTCCAAAGAGGTCAGCCATGCAGGAGGGCTAGCTGAGAAATAATTTAAATAGGTGAGACAAATGCAACAAAGCTACGCTGCGATTTTTTGTTGTGGCGAGTTTTCTTGTAGTGTGTATTCAGCATCCGCCTAGTTTGCGAGATGGGCTTCCAGCGCCCGCTTCAGGGAGAGGACTGAGGTTCTGGGATCTGATACACTGGAAACCCAGCTTGCAACTGCTCCTCTTTGTTGAAGAGAGTGCTTGGTCAGCCCGCAGGGCTGGTGGGGCTGTGTCCCGACATGTGTTCAAAAGGATATCAATAGAAACACAAAATATTAATGCTGTGGTGTTCTCTAGTGGTGATTGACAGCTCCAGACACCAAGATGGTATGTTACTGTGCCAGCAGCCTGTGGAAAGCTGTTCTGACGTAGCCAACCCACTTGGCAGCAGAGCCGTGGCTGGCCCGCAGCGCCCGATGACTCAGTTAAGTCCCGGAGTTGTTACTGCAGAGGAAGAAGTCGTTCTGTTCTTTAATTCCTTTGTGCAGCCCATAGATCGGTTGAATGGTATCCTGCCAAGGCCTGTAGTTAGTAGAAATTATAATGCGAAAGTCTTTTGGGGCTGTGCAAGTCGTGACTGTAAGATTCTGCGTTGGAGCTAATGGTCCAGAAGGGTTTTCTTTTGCCATGAGAAAGTCTAACAGCAATTCAAAACATAGTTTACTTGGTTATTGCTCAGCGTAGCAGCCGGAGGCACTCTCTTGCTGCTAGCCCACCCACATGGGCAGGACAGCGCACACCTTCATCCTTTTTCCCCTTGGTGATTTATCATGTGCTTTCATTACCCAAGAGGCTAAATCCCCCAGAGCTCTGGTCTTCACATTTCTGTTGCACACTCTGCGACACGGCTTCATCCTTCTCGCTCATCTTCCCTCTGTCAGCCCATTGCTCGTAGGGTAGGGTTCGCGTGCTGCTGTTTGGGAAACCAAGGCCTAAGCAGGAGCAACGGTGGCTTTATTCTGCATCTGGTTAGGTTCTTGGTTGGACACCATGATAAATGTGAGTTGAAGTTGTGCCAAAAAATCTACCTCCAGGGTTAACGCCTATAAGATGGACAAATAGATAACTTGTGAGAGTGTCGGTTGTGCTCCAGGAGTTTGCACAAATGCACTTTTGTTTCACAGAGATTGGGGGGGTTTTCCTTAATGATGCTTACACCTAAGTAGAGTTTTGGGCAATTTTGAGATGCACAGCGATGCTTGTCACTATGGAAAACCGAGCTTTGTTAGGAGAGGTAACAGTGTGGAGCCTGATTCTGAATCTCAGCTTCTTCCTGGAATTAGCTCACCTGAAATTAAGGGAGCAGAGGTGCATTTCTTTATCATTCAGAGCAGTAGGAGCCATGCAGTCCTCTTCTTTTTCTTGCTTAAAGATATCAGACTGCCTGTTTGACACATTCTTCTGAATGATCACAAAAATCCGAATGCAACATGGGGTTGAACTAGCTACCGAAAGCCGTCTTTCAAGTTAATCCTCCAGCTTTAGAAGTTGACACATTCCTTTCGATGCGGAGGCAAAGTTGCTATTATATGCAGGAAAAGAGCATGAAGATGTTGCAGCTTTTTTTAGCCATAAGGTGGGATTTGGCATAACCAGGGTCTGCAAGGGGTGAAGTCATTGGAAGGGTTTGTTACTCGAGGTCTAATGTCTCTTCCTTGCAGCCGGGAAGGCGCTGGGTGTTTGAGGATCCGCTGGCCTCTGGTGGTGAAGCTGGGTAGAAGCTACGAGAAGCATCTGTGCGAGCCCTGGCTTAGCCTCTGTACCGAAAGGAAGCTTGGCGTTACAAAACGTTTTGGGTTTGAACACTCATCTGGCCTAATGGGCTCCTGAAATATTTGAAGGAGGTCCTGGACTCCTATGCGGCAAGTCCCTGACGGTGTCCTGAGTTTTGTGGTGTCTGTTTTAAACCTCTTAAAGGTAGTTCAGGGACTTCAGGAATCTACAGAGTGTACGTTGAGAAGAGCTGATTTTTTAGATCGGCTGATTTTTAGATCAGTGCAGGTAAAGTTGTATAACACTAGAGTGCAAGAGAAAAACGAAACTTAATGTTACAAAGTAGCCAGGACTTAATCTCAAAATTTTAGAAAGAGATGACTTGAAACTATTTTCTAGGTTTGTATAAATGATGCTATCCAGGGCTTTGTTGCATACATCCCTTTTTCCATGTTTCCTATAGCATTTCTGTCTCCTGTAAAGAGATTTTTACAAGTTGACTGCACACTTGAGTTCCTAGGGCAGCCGCCTTTGCACCGACTCTTCGCATAGCACTGACGGCGTACCTTGCTGCTCCACGGCTTTCTCTGCTTTTGAGCTTGGCTGCTTGGCAGTGACACCTGCCTGTCTGCTCTGCTTCTTTCCTTTCCTGATCTTCGAGGAAACTTCTCAGTAGTGAGAGGCACAATGCAATATGTAGCTCAAGCCTCAGAGACTTAAGGGAAATTGATTTTAAAATAACTTTTAAGAGATCAGCACTGGGAGCTAAACAAGTTGGATTTTGGTTTGGTTTGGTTTTGTTGTTGTTGGGGTTTTTTATTTGGTTTTGTGTTTGAGTTTTTGTCACTGTAGTAGCTGTGGCTAAATTAAAATGCTGGAAGACTCCTAGCTGTCACAATTTAATCAAATACCTTCCCTACCAAAAGATGCGAGTAAACCCTTCTCAATTAAATGCCCATCCCTTTGAATTTTTCCCTGTCTCCTTCAACCTTGCCTTCCTTGATCCACATCTTCCTTCCTATGTCTCTCTATCCTTAGTCTCAAATAATCTAGTTTATTAAGATTTAGGATATATTCAGGGCCATACCCGTTTAAGTGCATTTTTGAGAACGGAGTGGAGGGAAGATAACGTTTGCATGAGAGCTCTCGGTCTTTTCTTTTATTTGTATTTCAGTCTTTCACAAAGACATTTATATTCATCTCGGGTATTGCCATTTTTGTAAGTCATGCTATAGATAAATAAGTATTCATAGCGTACCTTATGTAGCGTTCCACATGGGTGCCTCCCAGGATTCCCATTTTGTCTTTTAAAGTTCAGGAACAGACACTGCTAAGTACAGATTGCAATTTTGGTTCGCATCTAGCTGCAGAACCACAAAAGCAAAGAAGGTGGTTAATGACACATGCTAATGATCCTGGCGTTGTGGTTTTCTGTTTGCAGATGTGAAAGGACCACCTACACACAGACTGTCCTGCGGCCAGTCCCCCTACACTGAAACGACAACATGGGAGAGGAAATACTGCATCCTGACAGACAGCCAGCTGGTGCTGCTCAACAGGGAGAAAGAGGTGAGAGAAGCTTACGTTGGCCGCTCAGAATCTACCTTTCAGCCTTTATTGGTAAAACAGGAAGGCAACTTTTTTCATCTTCCCTTTATTTGGTTCACGAGTTTAGTGAGGTGTGTGAAAGGGGGGGAAAGGGGAGCTAACCTATTCTGCATATGGATGGCATGGTGCACACAGTTATAATCCAGCTGGCCCAGGTGCTGGTTGCATGGAAGAGGTGACAGCAAACTGTGTGCATCCAAAACTCCCTCCTGGAGTTTTACAGCCTGCGTTTAAGTCTGCCACTACATCTTCTTATGTTATTGCTGCTTTTAATGGTAGTTAAAGCCACTACAGCTGTGCGAACCTACCTCTTCACATCAGTGCAGTCATAAAGGTAGGGAAAAGCACAGTAAAGGTAGGGAAAAGGAGGTTTGGTTTTGTCTATGTTGGAGTGCTGGGCAGAGAAGGTGTGTGCAGCCTTCACACTGTACAGTCATCCTTGCTGCAGTCACAAGGTAAATTAATTGAGACAGAGGTTTGCCTTCTCACTTGCTAAATGCAGCAAGGAAGATTGGGTGCCCCTTGGCATGGATACTCAAAGCTATTGGAACCATCTTTGCTTTAATTATAAAATTACTCTGTGCGGAGGGGGGTGTGGTGGTGTATATATAGCATGTAGTACTTGGCATTGTGCCTTGCCATGGAGGTAATGTCAATATGGTTAAAGAATAGGCATGTTTCAGTTGATTGAAATGCTGAACAAACAAATGCTGATAATTCCCTTCTCTTAGGTTACGCCATGGGATGTTTTTACTTGTGATATTTGGTGTCTACAGACTGTCATGAATACAGGAGCTTTAGAAGCATTTGATAATGCTGCTGGGTTTGTTTATTTGTTTAATTATTCTGCTGTAGATTTAGCCTGTTTAGAAATAAATATTTCAGGAGGAGCTATAAAATAGGAATGTTTTCCAATTAGTGAAATAGATTTTATTACCTATAAATGCCCATGAATTTGAGTCTAATACCATGGTTTCCTACATTTGGAGATGACTTGAATTTTTGTGGTTTTTCTTGATTCTTTTGAAGCTCCTGTGTATGGCTGCATACAGGCTGAGAGTATGAGACCTGTTTCTAGTGTAGCACTAAATATTATTCATCTTCAGTCGTGATCAGGTTTATTTACAAGGGCTGAAATATTTCCTTGCATAGGGAGAGTTGGAGGAAATGGTTTAGAGAAGGACTCGAGTTAATAGAAGGGAACAACATCAATGCTAATGCGTAGGAGAGGTGATCAAACACAGGGAAAATGGAAGGCCCTTATGATGGTGTTTGTTTACTATGTAATTCTTTTTCTGGTCTGACAGGACTGTCACCTAAGGAATTAAACTAAATTCTGAAGAAACTTAAGGACATATGAGAATGATTCCTAAAACTGTAACATACAAGGACAGCTGGGCTAAAAGGATGCATCTCATTAAAGAAATGTAGTTGAAAACAACACTGGCTAATATCACAAATAATTATCTGAAGGTGGTAATCATGCACTTACAGGTTCTTAATTTCTCCTACCACATACAGTTGAAAGCATTTTGCTGGGAGTAAGATGAGTCTTTTGCTTAGACCCTGAGGAGTAAATATGGGAAGTCTGACGTATCTCTGGTGTATTCATTTGTTATGTTTAAATACACTCTGCTTTTTGTCAGAAGCTGGAGAAATTCAGCATCAGGCTATACAGAGCCTGTGTTTTAAAAATACCAGTAACCACAAAAAATCAAGCAGTAGAGTAAATCTTTGCAGCGTGCTCTCAAAGGAGCATACCTGCACTATCACGATGAGAAATAACTTGTTTGGGGAAATGCTGCATGCAGATGGGCCAAGCAGACATGCCTTTGGTGGAGGTGTGACTCCACATGCTCATAATGTGATTTGTTTCAGAAGCTAGTAGCTGGAGTCAGATTTGCCATTCTGATTTTCACGTAATTTAGGACAACTGTTAAGTGAAAGGAAAAAGGGAACTCCTTGCAGAGTCATGAGTACTCTGTAGGAAAATAAAATCTAAAATGTTTAATCTAGCTTCTGCGTCTGTGCACATGGCAGTGTAGATACAATCCCATATGGAAACACAAAACATATAGGAATAGAACTGCCAGTTAAGAGAAGGACACAGAGCTGATACTCTGGATTTGCACCTTCGTCTAATCTTTCTGAAATAGAATTATCCCTTGTAGCTTTCATCAGAAAGGGAAGGGGAGGCAACTCGGTTGAATTACGCTTGGCAAGTCATTCAGAGTTGAAAGAGGCTCTATGAAATGTGATCTAGAAGAGTGAACAAAGGCCTAAGGCAGCAGTGGGGAGAGATGCTTGGGAAGAGCATAATGATTGAAAAGTGTGTAGGAGGGGAATCAAAAAAAGCCCATGGGTGGGACCACAGGTACCTAAGCAGAAGACGAGGTGAATGAAGACGAGGGAGGTTACTTAAAGAAGAAAATTGAAGATTATGTTTAGGGTAAAATTATTGGAAAGGTGATGCTGGAGGAGGTTTTTTATTAACTTGAAATGAGGTGGTAGGCAACAGAAGCTGAAGATGGAGAGATTCCTGCTCTGAACGTGGAAATCGCTGATAGAGTGGGTAGGTCCAGAATTTCTTTGGATTGCTGAAGAGGATCTTAGAAACAATGTGAGGGACAAACTGATACCCATCCATAAGGGAGTGGGTGTGGGGGAAGAAGGAGAGATGTTAACAGCAGAATGCCCTCACAGCCATAAGGGAGCACTTGCATCATAGCAAGGCTGGTGTTAATTTGAAAACTGTGAGTCTGAACCATCTCATTTTATTCTGTGGGCATCTGCTTTGTTACTTCATGGAATAAAAATCCAAGCAGCTTAGCCTGTGTGAAATTGAAAGGGAACAGAAATGTTTGATGTTTAGAATATTTTGTAAAATCATTATGCAAGTATGTATGTCAAAGCCAAAAAGTAGGAAAACGTGTACAAAACACAAACAGGTAAATGAAAGATGTCTTAATTGTTTCAGGTATAATGCTAAGTTTGGTTTCTTTCAGTTTATGCTGTTAAAATACAGCGTTATGAATTGCACAGATTTTGAAGTCTGTGGGAACAGTAAAGAAATAAACAGACTAGTAAGAAAACTCTTTTCTTATAACATCCCACCGCTATGGATTTATTGTCAAGGCAGTTTGGATAGAGTACGTGCAAGAGAGATTTTGCACTGTGCAAGCACAAGAGTACGTTGGAAATCAGAGAAATTTCAAGCTATGACTTGATCTCAAAATATCTGTAATTACTTAGACAAAAATAGTCTGACGGTACCACCTTGTGCAGTGTAGAAGAATCTTAATTACTTGATACCTTGTCAACTTTATAAAATGAAAAAAGGCGAGACTGAAGAATGAAGATTATTAATGAAGGGAAGAGACTGATGCCCAAAAAGTAAGTATAAAGAAAAAGAATCCCTGTACAGACATGAGAGACAGCTTAGCAAATAAGGAGTCATGAGTGACGGGAGATGTGCAATTACTACAACGTATCATGGTGTGGTAATATCTAGCAGCATCTTCCAAGACTAGGAGAACAGGTCTAGATTGATTCACTTACAAATCAGGTGTTTTTTTCTATCAGGAAGACGGTTTACCACTGTCAGGAAGGTGTAGATATTTTCATCATTTGTGAAACCTGTTCCATAAATTGAGAGCTATGAGGGCACAGTAAAAGTATCTGGAAAATCAGTGCCATTTAAACAGGGAAAGCGAATGAGTTAGTATTTA